CCATAATCACAGCTCATTGCAACCTCAACCTCCCAGGCTCAAAGAAATTCTCCCACCTCAGTCTCCTAAGTAGCTGGAATTACAGGCATGCTCTACCATGCCTGGCTAATTGTTGTATTGTTTAGAGAGATGGGGTTTTGCCATGTTGCCTAGGCTGGTCTTGAACTCCTGAGCTCAAGCAATCTGCCAGTCTCGGCCTCCCAAAGGGCTGGGATTACAAGTGTGAGTCACCACGACCTGCCAATAACATCTTGATTAAAAATATCAAAGTAGATATTTCAGCATACAAGACCACCGAAAGAAATGAGTTTATAAATTATATGAATTTACAATCCTATCTTTCTTTATCCCTGAATTCTTACATCAGTCATGGGATGCCAGACCAACTGTCGATGCTAAAAAAAAAAAGTGTAACATCTTTGACCAGTTGCAGAGGAACCTCAGATCTGATCTCACATAATGTGCTTTAATGGATAAATCTGAGTTTGAAACCAGGAAGGAAACCTGGCTCTATTCAGAGCTCCAATATCAGATGAATAACCTTAATCTCAGTTATATCAATCATAAGAAGATAATAAACCCTGCAACAACAGGGAAGCCAAGAGAAAAAATTCAACTGGTTAATCAATCACACATAAGAAATATGGAACTGTGAGAAATGATCTAGGTTCTCTGGAAAAAGAGGATCAGTAATTTTTTTTGTTGTTGTTGTTTTTGAGCCAGAGTCTCCCTCTGTCACCCAGGCTGGAGTGCAGTGGCACGATCTCAGCTCACTGCAACCTCTGCCTCCCGGATTCAAGTGATTCTCCTGCCTCAGCCTCCCGAGTAGCTGGGATAACAGGCATGCACCACCACGTCCAGCTAATTTTTGTATTTTTAGTGGAGATGGGGTTTCATCATATTGGTCAGGCTAGTCTCAAACTCCTGACTCCTGACCTCAGGTGATCCACCTACCTTGGCCTCCCAAAGTGCTAGGATTACAGGCCTGAGGCACTGCGCCCAGCCAGATCAGTAACATTCAAAGGTATTTATTGCTTCTCAAACTTCAGAAATGAAAAGGTATTCCATGAAATAGACACTCACGGGGGAGCAATGCCCATGGCATGGAGATTAGCCAGGCCCACCATGTTGGCATTGCCGATGAGTCCTGGCTTCAGTGCCAGCTGGGCTTGGATTCGAGCTTGTAGTTCAGCTGCTTTCCTTGCCTTCTCAATGGCATCATTCATGAAAGTGGCAGCCTGGGAGGGCTGAATAGTGTTGCCAATTGGAAGTCGCTCTGGTTGGGAAGAAGAAGGAGTCTTTGGCTGTGAGATAGAGTAAAAGAAATCAGAGGCATTAAGACAGGCAGACAAATACACGTATGCATACACACAGATACACACATACACATCATGGTAGACTGTAGTAGATGATTATGAAGTAAAACATGCAGTCACCTCTTCTGGTCTCTCATTTTGAGTGGATGGCAAGAAATTCTGTGCCAAAGACTATTGTTTTCAGAGTAATCTAGACACAATACCTGAGGTGTAGGGGGGCTAATGAAGCTCAACTGTTTTTTCCTCTCCTCGATTTGTCGTGTTGCTGCCTCCATCATCTGTTTGATCTGCTCTCCAGGAAAAAAATTGAAAAACTGTTAATTTCTCCTCTTTACTACTCCCATTCAGGTTTTTAAACCCACAAGGCTCTCAGGTCTAGACACTTAAAATTTTTTGAATATACCACATACTGTCTACCATAGTGCAAAAAATTTAGTCAAGATTAAAGTTTGCACTGGAATTTTTCAACCCAAGTTCCTAAGGCAAGATTGGCATATTAGGTAGCAATACAGTGTGATGACTGAGACTCTGGAGTCAGAGAAACCTGAGTTTGAATCTTTTTTTTTTTTTTTTTTTTTTTTTGGAGTCTCGCTGTGTCGCCCAGGCTGGAGTGCAGTGGTGCGATCTTGGCTTACTGCAAGCTCCTCTCCTGCCTCAGCCTCCCAGTAGCTAGGACTACAGGCACCTGCCACCACGCCCGGCTAGTTTTTTGTATTTTTAGTAGAGACGGGGTTTCACCATGTTAGCCAGGATGGTCTCGATCTCCTGATCTCGTGATCCACCCGCCTCGGCCTCCCAAAGTGCTGGGATTACAGGCTTGAGCCACCGCGCCCGGCCCGAGTTTGAATCTTAACTCTGACACTTAATGCCTTTGTTATCTTGGATAAGGAACTTAGTCTCTAAACCTCCTAAGCGTCTAAAAGGGAGAAAAAAAACAGTACCTACCTTATAGGTCTATTGTAACCACTTAAATAATGCATGCAAACCTAACAGAACCTACACAAAATATTATGCTTAATTTTTTTTTTTTTTAATTTTTGAGACGGAGTCTCACTCTGTGGCCCAGGCTGGAGTGCAGTGGCACAATCTTGGCTCACTGCAAGCTCTGCCTCCCGGGTTCACGCCATTCTCCTGCCTCAGCCTCCCAAGTAGATGGGACTACAGGCACCCACCACTACACTCGGCTAATTTTTTGTATCTTTAGTAGAGACGGGGTTTCACCCTGTTAGCCAGGATGGATTTTGTATTTTTAGTAGAGACAGGGTTTCACCCTGTTAGCCAGGATGGTCTCAATCTCCTTATCCGCCTGCCTTGGCCTCCCAAAGTATTGGGATCAAAGGCATGAGCCACTGCTCCCAGCCTATACTTAATTTTTTTTTAAAAGTCATGATATTAGTACTTGAACTACTAGTTTGAGAAACAAGAGACGATGGTGCAAAGACCTGCTCCCTAGTCTCTATAAACCCCTTCTGTCCTAAAGAAGTTCAGAATGATAAGCTTTGAGGGTATAGTCAAACAACTCCTCTTGCATTTTGCAAAAAGAGCTTCCAGATATTTTTAAAAATTTGTCTTTAACATTTTTTCTTGAATAGGTGATATTCAAAATTCAAAAATTACAGAAGGGTCAGGCATGGTGGCTCACGCCTGTAGCACTTTGAGAGGCTGAAGTGGGTGAATCACTTGAGGTCAGGAGCTGAAGACCAGCCTGGCTAATATGGTGAAACACCATCTCTAGTAAAAATACAAAAATTAGCCAGGTGTGGTGGTGGGCGCCTGTAATGCCAGCTACTCAGGAGGCTGATGCAGGAGAATTGCTTGAACCCAGAAGGCGGAGGTTATTGTTAGCCAAGATCATGCCACTGCACTCCCGCCTGGGCAAGAGAGGGAGACTCCATCTCTAAATAAATAAGAAAATAAAAAAATAAAAAATTACAGTGCTGGGCGCAGTGGCTCACGCCTGTAATCCTAGCACTTTGGGAGGTCGAGGTAGGTAGATCACGAGGTCAGTTGTTTTGAGACCAGCCTGCCCAACATGGTGAAACTAAATTTAGTCTCTACTAAAAATACAAAATTAGCTGGGCATGGTGATGCACACCTGTAATCCCAGCTACTCAGGAGGCTGAGACAGGAGAACTGCTTGAATCCAAGAGGTGGAGGCTGCAGTGAGCTGAGATTGCACCACTGCACTCCAGTGCAAGAGCGAGACTCCATCTCAAAAAATAAAATAAAATAAAATAATAAAATGAAAAATTATAGGCTGGGTCGGTGGCTCACGTCTGTAATACCAGCACTTTGGGAGGCCAAGGCAGGAGGATCGTGAGGTCAGGAGTTCAAGACCAGCCTGACCAACATGGTGAAACCCCGTCTCTACTAAAAATACAAAAAAATTAGCCAGGCGTGGTGGTGTGCGCCTGTAATCCCAGCTACCTGGGGGGCTGAGGCAGAAGAATAGCTTGAACCCCAAAGGCGGAGGTTGCAGTGAGCCGAGATCACGCCATTGCACTCCAGCCTGGGTGACAGAGCAAGACTCTGTCTCAAAAAAAAAAGAAAAATTGCAAAAGGATATATTGTGAATACATCCATCCCTATTCTCCATAAAAAACATCATCGGGCCAGGCACAGTGGCTCATGCCTGTAATCCCAGCACTTTGGGAGGCCGAGGCGGGGGGATCACAAGGTCAGGAGATCAAAACCATCCTAACATGGTGAAACCCTGTCTCTACTAAAAATACAAAAAATTAGTCGGGCGTGGTGGTACGTGCCTGTAGTCCCAGCTACTCAGAAGACTGAGGCAGGAGAATGGTGTGAACCCAGGAGGCAGAGGTTGCAGTGAGTTGAGATCGCCCCACCATACTCCAGCCTAAGTGACAGAGCGAGACTCCATCTCAAAAAGAAAAGAAAAGAAAAGAATCAGCT